TTGCATATAAGATAAAAATAATTAGTGTTATGCTTAGGTATTTTTCTGATGCTAATGCAATTTTTTTTGCACCCCTTGAGATGACTCCCTTTAAAAAACAAGCGCATCGTTTTTATCCAAATTCTTTGTCTTATCTACTTTGATTTTAAACCGCGTTTTTGTACAAACTTTCTCAAACTTTTGAACTTATTGACGGCTCAGCGGATATCAGAAGGTCATTTGACGATAGAAGCTCCTGTGTTACCGTGGAAGAACCACAGTTTCTCGTAGCATCTACCATTTTTTTATAAGTAAAAATGGGCTAGGTTCCGATCCTTGGTGCAGGCGTACTTTGTTAACGAAGTAATTACTGCTTCCTTGGAGCCGGTGAATTCTGGTTTTCAGCAGTTGGATGCCTCTGTAGTCACCACATTCTAACGGATTTTATTTAAAAAAAAAAAACTCACCATTTCACTTTCGCTTCAGTCGGAAGGGGTTAAACCAGAGTCCAAACTTACTTAAGGACTTGAAAAAGTCCAGGAAGTCCACCATACCCTGAATATTATATCATGTCCAAAGTTAGCCCTGTTGGTCCTGTGTTTTTTCTTTTTGTCATATCTCTTAGTGCAAGTGCCACTTCCTGAATAGAAATTTCCTCCAATGGGCCAACCACTGCAGGGATATCTAATTCAAACGGCATAAGAACGGCTAAGCCACTGCGAGATAACATCTTGGTCACTGTACTTGATTTGACTATTTGTTCATTTAATTTCCGCATTTTTTTTTCTAACTGGTTTTGATTATTGGCAGTAAATGGGAATTTTAAGTTAAAATTCAACCACAACTTGTCTGGGCTTAGTGCCACAACCTTCGTCCTTGATATCCTTCTAGTTTTGTACACAAACGTTGGTGTTAAAATTAAATCAATCTGGGTGGAGTTTTTACCCCTCTGAAACGTACAGTAATCAACTTCGCATTATTATTTTTAAAATGTTTAGGACGGCTAATTTTTGTGACTTTCAAAAATTGATCTCTGTTCTTTTGAGTTTTCAGAAATTGATCCGATCTTTTGAATTTTGAGTACCAAAACAGAATGGGCAAATTTCGTAAACATTTTCCTGGCGTCAGAGTATATACCTGGCATAGTTTTGCTCAAAGTAAATTCTGCGGTCAAAGTATATTCTTGATCAGGTAGATATAACATAGTATCTTCTAGCATCTTATAAAAAATCTTCTCTTTCTGAATCCTCTCCTCCAGCTTGTGGTACGAGCTCAGATACATTGCACACAGTGTGCCCTAAAACAATTCTACTGGATTCCAGTACTGGATTAATTTAATCTACTGGCCTCCGGTAACTTTTCCAGAATTCTACCAGTGTTGGCTATTGCAACACCTTTTGTGACTTCTGAGTCTACTTGCCAGAAAAACGAAAACTTGTGGTCGCCATCTCTAAAACTTCTGGTGCCACACTTCCTTCAAAACGAGTTTCATGTAGACTAAACATGGATATCTACTCTTTTCTAGAGTTTCCCATATCTTAAGGAGTTTTCTTTTTAGCGTGCGAACGTTCCACGAGCATAGCCGAAACGAATTTTTCTAGAGCGGGCTTTTTGTTTTATACATTTGAGTTATACATTAGTCATATTAGTGACACCGTGATGTTGTTGGAAACCACTCCCCATTTAGGTGCACACGCGACTGAGAGCCCTTGCTAGGTTGACTTTCCAAGAATTATGTAGAGCGATGTTCTTAACAGAGCTTTTTCAGAACGAAATCTATCTAAACCGGATGCCCTTACTGGCATCCACCCTCCTCCTTTTTCCGAGCTTGGGACTGGCAGCTTTGTTTTAATAGCACGGTAGACCAGGCGGAGCCACGAAAATTATTAACTAAAACTCGAACTGAAAAAAATCTTTGTGTACAAATTCAAAAAAGGCGATAAAAAAGTTAAACGTGGCAAAATCCAGCTTGATACAGCTTAGAAAATTTAAGAGAAAGAAAGTATCTATGATCGTTCTCAAAAACCATAGCCTATTAAGTTTCTCAGAAAATCTTTTTGTCCTTACCACAAAAGAATATCAATCGACCAAATCATTGGAATGTTTCAGACAACTAAATACAAAAAGAAAATGAAGAAAAAGCGTCCTCGAAAAAACAAAAAACACGAAAAAAGGACGGAGATTATGTAGGCATTAATCAATTTCTAATGCCTTATAAAGCAGAGTGTACTACAAACTCCTTATAAAGCAGAGTGTACTATTATGATAGAGTGGTCCCTTGAAAATAACCAAGTCCCTTGAGAATGAGACAGAGCTCTGAAAACGTTCATAAATTTTTATTTCGCAATTCAAAAAGATATCGCAGTATATTTCAAACAAATTTGGTCTTTTGTTTTTTCTTGAATTGTCCCCCCACCTTTTTACCGTTAACATTAAAAGAAAAACCTTTTAAGTGGTTTTTGCTGACAAATTAATCAACCCAATTATAGTTGTTAAACCGTAAACTAAAGTGAAGTGAGAAAATAGTAAAAATTAAAAGTAATAATTACAAATGTTAATCTTATAAGTTTTTGATTCAACGTGTTTCACGAGATGTTTGATATGAACAATTTATTCACGAATTACTTTTCAAAATTATAACATGCGAAATCATGCAGGACCTATCTATAATAACGCTTTTTCGAGGGACCGCTCAATCATTGTAGTACCAAGCAAAGTTTTGCCGCCACTCAAACTTCTGTTTTAGAGCCACAACAGCTGAACAGGACAGATCAGAACTGATCACGCGATTTGACGCTCTTTTCAATGGATTTTGGTAGTAAGAAATTTCAAATGTTAATTCAAACGTTTTCGCACATTTTGTACATCATCAGGATTAAAATTTTTACAAGGTTTACAAAACGATCAAAGATCTGAAAAAATTAGAAACATGTCTAAAAATGATTTAAAATTGTTTGACCAATCAAATTTAAACAACTGTAATTACATAATAAATCACGTAATCCTTAATAACATTTTCTTGTAAATTTCTGTAATTTTTTTTGTTTTTTGATTCTGACATGTCAGTTTTTTGCAATTTAGCCATGTTATACATGGACTATGACTTTAGTGTTAATTCCCGGCTCCTGAAATCATCGGCCTCTCCCTCCAAATATGCAAAGCTTCTAGTGTGAGTAGCTTCTGAGTGTTGGTTGCTTAGTCTATAATCTCTGACTTCAGCTCAGCAGTACCGCCTACCTCCTCGCTACATTCTAACAAGTTTGCCCTTCTGGGGAGTCCTCTTTGCGGTGTTCATCGACCCTCGTGGCTAAATGTCGGACTTCTGACCGACATACGTGGAGTTACATCCACTACATGTAAGCTTATATACCACTTTGGATCTCAATTCACGAGCAAAGGAAGTTTTGAGGGATGGCAAGCAAGTTTTTAATTTTCTTGTAAGAATTATTTTTGCCCCGGATATTTGTCTAATCTTTGCAGCTAACAGTTGAGATGGATTGCCTCGATATTGCATTGTAAAAAGGGGGTGAGGTTTTCAACCACTTATCAGTTCTCGGTTCTGATGCCGTCACCTCTAAGTTTTTCCCTTCAATGATCTTGTTCAGAGTTTCAAACACTACCCTGTCCGACCAATTTTTCGGATATTGATTTTCAATCCATTGTTTCCGACTTTTTTCCAATGCCCGATCAAAATTTTTACATCTTGAGGTACTTCTGAAAACCCTATGGACCGTCCCTTCAATCCGTCCTTTCCGTCCCTTCAATCCATTGTTTCCGACTTTCTTCCAATGCCCGATCTAAATTTTTACATGTTGAGGTACTTCTGAAAACCCTATGGACCGTCCCTTCAATAACGTTTCTTTTGTATTGCAAAGGTGCACAGCCTCTAGAATTCATGATGGTGCCGATATCAGTGCGTTTTTGGTACCACCCACCTGTAACATTTTTTCCTGAGTCCACGTTGACATTTAAACCCAAAAAAACCAAATTACCGTACCTTTTCGAGTTCTTCTATGGTGAACTCCAAATTTGGATGTAAATTTTCGGCAGCCTCGAGGACTACCTCAGGATCGCCCTTGATAGTTCTAACTATGTCGTCCACATATCTTAGAAAAACTTTAACACCCTTCTCAGTCCGAGCTGCTTTTTTTTGTTTTTTTTTGCCACTCATGCAATACCAGACTGTTTCAGCGATGTTTGCGTCTTCAGATCCCGATATGTTACCACACTCTAAGTGGTACCAAATCAAACAAGCTTTGCATTCTACCCCTTTATTTCGATATCTCGCCTTCTTCTGACATCCAGGGCAGACTTTCTTGTTATCCTCATTTGGCACTGTCAATTTTGGTACTTCTTTCACTAACGCAGCTTCGTATTCGTTGACTCACAAATTGACCAGTGTTACTGCAAGGGATGCGCCCATTGTTAAACTGTTTTTTTTTTAATATACCACAAACCATTGCATTTAAAGTGTACACTACTCACTGCTAAATTTAGTAGTTTTTTCATAGTTTTGCGAGATATTTCCGGAAGATTGATTTGCTCATAGAATCTCCTCAGGGCAGGGAATTCAATACCAATACCACAATACCAAAATCAAGGCCAATACCGAACTGAATCATCAATACCAATACCAAACCCAGTCAATACCTGAATACTTTGTTACAATACCTCAAAAATCGCCAAACGTTTGAAACACGAAACATTTCGGATCGAAATGTCTGGCATGAGTTCTCTATAATTTTCTATTTTTTTTTAACATATGATTAACGATCGGAGGGTATTCAATACTAGTTTTAGATTGTTCAGTAACAAAACAAAATCGTTTTTTGGTAAAGGTAACATAAACGTTTTTTTTCTAAAGTAACGAAATAACAACTCGCGAAGATACTGCTGTAACTGAAGTGTTAGTGGAATATCGAGTAAACAAAACGGCAAAATCGGAAGTCAACAAAAAGTTTTTCGTGCAGTTTAAGAATAATGTTCAAACAGAATGGCGCAAGTGTATTAAATAAGAATAATTTTCAAACAGAATGGCGCAAGTGTATTAAATGAAACCGCTAAGAAGGTTATTTTATTTTTACAGTCAGTTGTCCAAACTATAAATTCAGACGTCAAAGATGTCTTAAGAAATGGCTGACTGACAACTCAACTGTGGAAGTACTTATGAAGAAACGTGGTGATTTGTACAATTTAATGAGAGATCGGATGATTTATGAAGAAAGTGTGGAAAATGAGCATCTGTATAATCTTCAAAATAACATTTCCTTTGAAGATTTTTCCAAAAGGGTGAGCGAGGACGATTTCCGCGTTGAAGACTACATAAAAAGTTTTCGACCAGCGAGCGTAGATCCTGAGCGTCCTTTTTCGCTATGCGGGTACTCAAAAATCTACTTGCAAAACAGAATGACTGCTGAGCATCATGCTCGCAATGTTTTCAACACAAAGAACGCTGAGTTTCTACCTATATTATAAAAATTGATTTTGTGAAAATTTTTATGTTTTTCTACATTAATCTTGAAAAATGAACAATGAAAAATTAATCTTACATTGGTTTTTGTGATTTTAGAGTGATCTGAGACGATTCAGAACACCAAGAACCTGGTTTTGATAAATACCAATACCAGTGACCTGGTATTGATCAATACCAATGCCAATACGAGGAACCTGGTATTGATCAATACCAATTCCAATACCAATACCTGATTCTGTCAAAACCAATAACAATTTTTCACGGTATTGAATTCCGTGCCTCAGGGCTATTTCAACGGCTTCCTTGAGCGGGACAAATCGGTTGTCCACGTTGTCATGTATGTGGATTGTTTGGTGGTAAAACCATCTTCAAACTCTGATTTGTTGAGGGAAAAATTGTCTTTGTTAAGGGAGCACGCTTAGCCAGTTCGATGCTCCATTCTGTGATGCTGGATTTTTTTCGCCTTTTTTCTGCTTAGCAGTTTTCCATAATTTCAGCTTTTTGAGAACGTGATGTTCGGTCTCTCAGTTTATCTGTTTCTTTTTATCAGAGTTTGTTCCGTTTCAGTTGTTTTTGGATCACTGTTTTCTAACGGATCACAAATTGCTCGTGACCACTCATATTTGCCAGAAAAGTGCATGTTACTGAGGTGGTCGTCTAATCCTCCCATTCATAGTAGTTGTGCAAAAAGGCGGCGATCTTCATCGGTTATATGATTTTTACCAGTAAAACTAGGAAGTAGCTGCTCTTACGTTTTTCTCAATATCATCCAGTTGCTTAAATGAAAAATTTAGTAAAAAAATACCTTGTTTAGTGAAAAACTATCAGTTTTTGATACGTAGCTACAAGTATTTGAAAAAAAAAACCACCAATTTCGAACCTGATGTAGTGCAAGATATCAGCCCTACTGCTCTTGTCAAACAGCTCAGAGAGTATGTTGTTTTGACCTCTATTCTCTACATGGGTGGAAAGTGCTCGAGTATCTGGGATAAGCAATGTCAACCGATTGCACAAAGAATCCAGGTCAGACCAGATCTGTACTAAGTGCATTCTGTCTTCGAGGTCTTCGGAAACCGTCACTGTCAGAGGGGTAATAGCCACCTAATTTTAATATTTGGTGAGAGATTTATAGATCAAAATTTTCATGTATTTAATCCTACAGTAAAAAATATTGCAGTATATGGGTAAAGCTGTACAATATAATCTGAGAGATAGTATTTAACCATTTGTAATACGTATCTAATTTCAATGCAGTTGCAATCAATTCTCGTACATTTAGCCGCCTAGCGTTTCAATTCACTGGAAGCATAATTTTCCAACGCAAACTTTCAGGTAATATGTGTTGCCGAAACAGCTAGATGACCAACTAAAAATGCAAATTTTTTGAAATTAGGTCTCTCTTCTGTCGTGCAGGCTAGCAAACTTTGCGAAAGTTGGTCAAAGTCAAAAAGATGGAGTGAAAAACAGATATTGCGTATATTTTGGCGAAAACTTGTGGGTTACGAGTAAATGAACAAATGCACATGGAGAGTTGGTTGCGACTGCTTGACGTATAAATGCAGAAATAAGACGACATTATAGAACTTGTAAACAGACTGGGGTGATAGCCCCATGTGCCCCCGCACAAAAGCCTAACTATTACTACACTAATTAGGCTGATATTATCCAATGTCATCATAATTGCAGTGCACGGAACTCAAGAAAGTGATCCGCTTTTCTCAGAATTGATTCGAGTTAATTTTTTATGACCGGTTGGCGTTGCGCCTCTTGTTTATTTCATCCCGATTGTTCTCCAGTTTCTGTCAGGTCTCCATTTGAAGCTGCTGATAGTCTTGCTTTGAATTTGTTTCCTGCGGTGACGTGTTCCTGTGGCTGGTTCGGATTGCGAAGAATTTCTTTCTGCTTTTTTCACCATTAGTTTTCATGTGTTTCTTCTCTAATCTCTTTCTTTCGGCTCAAAAAGACCTGCAGTAGCCTAAAACCCTTTGCAAAAATTTCTGTTTTACTCAAGCGATGCTAAGTCTAATTTTATCAGACTAACCAAATGCTTGGATTTTCAACTTCAATGGTTTTCTTGCCTTTGGTTTCGTTTTTTCTCACTGAACAATAGTATTGTTTCCTTTTGCCATTTGTACGCATTTGTCAATGTAGAAATTATGTTAACAAAAAAGTCTGTCCTTTATCCCAAAAAAGTATGCCATTTGTCCCTATGTTAACAAAAACCTCAAAAAAGTCTGCCGCTTGCTAAAATCCTAGTTCCGCGGTTTCAATCAGCTACGTGGTCTTGTGTGTTCTAATTTCACTTTCACACCTTGATTTTTCTCATAAAAGGCATAAAAGAAAACGTTGAATCTAGCTAGATCATGTTATTTAATGAACGGCTTTAATTTTGCAATAAAATGTAAAGATTTCGTTGCGAAAATGGACTGATCGTATAAACTAGATAATTACTAGACGCTTCCAAGACTTGAAACTTGGGGGCTTATGTATCGCTCCCAAATAAAGCGCAGGCAAATGACTTCCTCGAAAAGGATCAATGCACAGGAAAAGCTTGGTTTGGGGGATGGTTCTCACAACTAGCTGGGGTACTCGTTATGATTAGTCTAGTAAAGTTCTAGTTCATAAGATCAGTCCATTTTCGCAACGAAAGTTGTTTATTTTATCACAAATTTCAAGCCGTTCATTGAACAATAGGAACTAGCTATATTCAGTTTCGTAAAGAGTTTTTTTATGCCTGATGCGTCTTAGAATAATCAATACTTGAAGCCAGAAATCTTCCAGACGACCTGGATAATTGCAAGCGCGGACTTTAGCAAGGGGCAGAATTTTTTTGGGAATTTTTTGATAGTAATTGAACAAAAAATTGCTTTATTTTTGGCGGAGGGACACTCATCAAAGCAAGTTATTTGAAACCAAAGGCGCCTGAATGAAAATTAGGTACTTTCAGCCGAAAATTTATGTCGTTAAATAGTATTAAAAGCTTTTTGTGGCGAAGAAGTCAAATGACTTAGACCTGGAAGCATCTGCGCTCCCTTAAATCCCGCTACTGGTCCACAGTTGAAACAAGGGAAACTTTACCGGGAGACCATGTGCGAAGAGCGGATCTAGGAGATTATCTCGAGAGGGGATTTTCAAAAAACTTCTTCGAAAATTTAGTCGACCTTTTTTTAGGTCGACCAAATTGACTTTCTGACTCCCCCCAAATCATTGTAGAGGCCCCATTTTGATCAAATTTTCTGGGCCGCAGTCAAATTTTTTGAAAAACTAGCCAAAAAAGTTGTTTTAGACACTTTTTGGAAAATGTGCACGAAAAAAATCACACTTTTTCGGCACGCGTTTTCCCATCAAGGTTAGTTTATTTGGCGACAAAGGCGCCTTTAGAAAAATTTAAGGGCTAGTGAGTCAAAAATGGATGTCTCAAAGTAGTACAAAGGGGGGCTTTGAGTCGGTTGGGGCGGACTAAATCCACTACTGAGTTTAAATTTTTATATCTAAAAATATTAGTGAATTTTCTCTATTTTTGCTGAAATGCAGCTTCGCCTCTGTTTGAAAGATTTCAGGCTCTTGAAGCTTAGCAATGTAAAGCAATTAGAGCCGCGTAAACTATACACGGTTTAAACGAACACGTTGTTTTGATTACATTTTTTTGCAAGTTTTCGCGTTAACAAGAAGGTTGTTTTACCATTATTGAATAAATAATTGAGGAAACAATAGGGAGTCGGTCAGGGCAAATTGCTATGGTAAAAATAATCACCGAATTACTATGACAGTTCTGCTGCGATTAGATATGACAGTTCTACTGATGTCAGAGTTCTACTGATGTTCTAATCAGTTCTACTGATGTTAAAGAGGCTTCAAGGGATGGGACACAATTAGTAGAAGCTGTAATCATAAAGTGAACAAATTAAAGTTGTTTTTTTTTCAAACCGAATAGGGTTTACGACTATTCCAGTTATGTTTTTCATACCGAATAGTGCTTACGACTAGCGAGTTTCAGAAATTTTGGGGATGAATTTGAACTTCTTTCTTATTTGGCTTGGTTTTACACTGAATACGACTGAACAATCAGTTGAAATATTGATGCAGAGCTTGGACCTTATGTCATTAACCTGGCTAAACAATGCCATTAATCTGCTGCTGTATGTTATTTAAACGTTAACATTTTTTTAATGTGTTCCTTTATGTTTTCACATATATGTCTTCCTTTTCTTTGAAGATCTTAATTTTTGTATTTATGCTTGATTAACGGGCAGTGCTTCGCAGCCCAAATGGGTTCGTTAACTGTCCCTTACTGTTTCTGGTGCTTCAAATTAAAATATTTGATATGCATATTTACCATTAACACGGCAAACAAATGGCCCTGTTTCTGTTAATAGCTTTTGATATTTTCACTATCGGTAGTCAATGCAGTGTCATCTTATTGTAATTTTCGAAACATCAGTGTATAACTCAGATCAATTCAGATTCAAGAACCATTTTTTTGACATGTTTCTTGAATCATCCATTAACGAACAAAGTTTTTTGGCAGTTTCAGTTTTTGTTCTTGTGATGCGGAAACGTTTGAAAAATGAGATCTTGTTGACCTTTGAGGAGAGCTCGAAAAACAATTCAGAAGACCTATTTAATGTCGCAGGCTTTTTTTGAAAAAACGCTTGTTTGTGAAAATGTTAGATTTCCTTTTGCTGTAGTAAGTGGTAAACTGTGTCGAAACCGGCGCAGCAAACAAATAGCCCTGTTTTTGTTGAAAGCTTTCGGTATTTTCACTATCGGTAGTCAAGGTAGTGACATCTTATTGCATTTTTCGAAACCTCAGTGTATAATTCAGATAATTTTGAGCTATGTACTGAAAAGCAACCGATTACAGATGGCAGATAGATCAGCTAGTGGACTACAGAAGCCGTCCTCTAGGCTAGTGAAACCAATAGGAAAACCATTAGGTGGGTCAGGGACGGCAGCCACTGCGTTATCCGCCAACCCTCTTGCAACTGCTGCTGCTTTGGGTGCTAACAGAGGTGCTGAGAGGAGGGATTCGGTATCCAGCATTTCCAGTACATCGGTCAACTCAACAGCTAAGAAAGCCGACACAGCTACAAATCCATCCGAAATACAACTTTCAGTTGGAGACGTTGTTTCAATTCCTGGAGGTAATTGCTTGGCATCAGTTTGAATTCCCAAGGTTAACATGGTGAAGAGTCTTACATAGATCGTGAAGATTTTTTGTTAGTTTTTTTTTAGATTTTTTTCGTGCTTAAATTTGATTTTTTTTTGCGGTTTGACTTTTGATTTATTTTCTAGTTCATTTCGCTTGTTAATATGAAAGGAAACTCCATGATCGATCGAATGAGTTTAAAGGTCACGAAAAACTAGTTTCGAAAATTAATTTTAATTTTCAGATTTCCAAGCAGAATATTAATTTTACCCATTGATCCAGTTTACTCAAATTGGGTTAGTTATGTCTAAAAAGTATATCATCGACTCTTTTTCAAATGTCTGTTGGAATTCCAAATTGTTTTAGAGGAGAAATAATAATAGTTTGACGCTTACAGATCTATAAGCGTGTCGCTTGAACAAAAATCAAAAAATCTAAGTAGTCTAATTTATTATGTAAGCAACTTTTAAGGCAAGCAAGGGAAGCTGCTGTTCTTGGGGGAGACCCACTTCGCCAAGGGAGAGTGGGCTGGAGTGTATCTGGATGAAGCTGCTGGGAAGAACGACGGATCACTCGACGGGAAGTCTTACTTCACTTGCCCAGACAAGTATGGAATATTTATCAAGCCAAATAAACTCACGCGAGTTGACCAGCAGACACCAAAAATAATTCCTGCCCAGGTCAAAGTACCTCTAACTGTCAATCAATCGCGCTCCGCCATTAAGTTGAACAGCAGCGGAGATGCTGTTAACTCATCAATACGTAGCAATGAAGTCTCAGTACCTTCCAAAAAAATGAGTGCGCCTTCTGGTCCTTTGAATATGGCGCCTTTATCAGACATTGCGAGTACTCCTCGAAAGATTAGTACAAGCAATGCTCCCATGCGGTCAATGACCCCGGCCAACAACCAGTCTAACTTCGGTGCAGTTCAAATGCGAGTGAAACCAGGAGCCCAGGCCGACGTTCTCTCCGCAGAAGACCTGACTGTAGGCGAGAAAGTTTGGGTGAATGGGCTGAAACAAGGTGCAGTGGCCTTTGTGGGAGAAACCGAATTTGCGACCGGAGTGTGGGTCGGAATCATCCTCGGAGACAAATCAGGCAAAAATGACGGATCTGTCAGTGGCAAAAGGTATGTTTTAAGGAAAATAAATGTAATGGTTCAGAGTTTTGTAGATCATCAATAATTTGCGAAAATTGCGGCAAAAGATTTCAGTCAATGGGATATAAACAGATTTGTTTTCTCATTTGACTGATCATTATTACCCTTGCAATAATCAAGGGTACTGCAACCGGGTACTAAATTTTTTATTGCGTTCAAAACTATGTTTACGCGACTGGACTTTCTTTTTTCTCGGCTGAAAGGTGTCAGCCAAAGTATTGTGCGCTTGGTTGGTGGAACCTGATCTAAACTACATTTTATGATTGGATAAATTAAATGTTTTACCAATGTAAAGTATTTAATATTAACCAATCATGATCCATCTAACTAACAACCCACTTATTTGTAAGTGCTGAAGTTACTTGTAATTTCAGCACCAGAGAGATTTGAATTTAACTTAGAAATTAGTTGGACTCTCCCGAGCACTTCAGCAGCCGCAATAAACCAGTATACCCTAGATCTATTGAGCCTAGCAGAGACTAGTTAAACAACCTGAGACTAGATAGTATAAGAGTAAGATTAGGATCGGTATTAGACTAAGAAGTTGCACGAATCTATCCGGCCGAAAATAAGATAGCGTGACGAGCAGACGGTGTACCCTATCCGAAATTACTCTATGAGTTACACTTCGGTCCTAACTCATCTGGTGCGACCATAAGTCTCGAACAAGACCTTAATAGATTAGAATTAACCAAAATAGATTAGAAATTAGACAAAAACATTTACAAAAATGTTATACGACAATAATTTAATCGAAATGTCTCTACGACTCAATAGATCAGAGCCAATATTCCGAACCATAACAGAACTACCCGGAATTGGAAGAAGACCTCGAACCAAAGACGACATACGACAAAGTAGAAACTTGCCGTATAGTTATATGATAGTTCGGCAAAAGCCAGAACAAACTTTTATATTTCGAATACTACTTGCAATGAATTTAGATTTCCATTTGCAAACATAAAACCTTGAAGTTACTCTTCAAAATCATTTCAGGCGCTAAACAAATTTATTAATATACAATAACGATTGATAAAAAGATCTAAGATCGTTTTCCTAAAACTCTGCAGTATTATACAAAACATGTTTGAAAAATATTTATTGGAAAATAAAAATAAAAATTAGTAGCATGACAATAAATGGTTAGTAATCATAAATCATCCTGTTGTTCCAGCTTCATCATCTAAAACATAACAGCAATCATAAACCCACTAATATCATCAAAACACTAAATCTTTCCTTTACACACATTTAAAATTTTATTAAAACTTAAATTCACTTAATTTTAAAACCAGATCATCAAGGCTTATCCTTGGATCTTAAATCATTTTCTACTTAATTAAATTTCAAATTTGATCATCAAGGCTTATCCTTGGATCAAACAGAACAACTTTGTTCTCCCCCACCCACTTAATTAGTGTCTAACGACCTCAAACGTCGATTCACTACCCAACCCTTTCTAAAGACCTAAGACTAATAGAAATTTTTAAACAAAACTAATCATTCAAATTAGGATAAACAGTGAAGAACTTCGGTTATTCATCCTTCACTTGACCCCCCCTCTTACCAGACCCAGGATAAATCTTAGACTTAGTAAGTTTAAAATAGTATCTAACGAACTACTCGCGTTCTAATTATACCTGAACCTTGTGGATCGATTTACTATTCTCCAACCCTTGAACACAATCACTACCCCTAAGTAAGATTAAGTAAGTTAACACCTTAACTTATACTAGCCACGAGAAAGTAAAAAATCATTCTTCGGAATCGATATACTTTTCTCTCCAACCCTGAACAAACAGACCCAGGTTAAGCTAACCAAAAAATCGTAAGAACTAACAGTTTAGGAAAATAGAAATCATTTAACAACCCTTTGCATCCGTCATTCTAAACCTTATGTCATTTAAAAACCTAGGAAATAAACAAACAATCGTTTTACACAATTGTGAAATAGATAACAAAAAATACGACCTTGTAATCACACCTCATACACAAACAGTTGGATACATTCGAACAAAACGACAAACACTAAAAAGAAAAATAATAACGAAACAAAGACAAATAACACGAAAAAGATTTTCAAAAAATCGAAACGCATTTTCAGAATCAGAAACCAACAGTTTAGACGAACTTTACAAACTAAAAGAATCAATAGATAAAAATTGCCCAATTCACGATCAATTATATTTCTCTGACTCAGAAACAACTTCAAATTCATCACAAAGAGGAAAAAGAAGAATAAAAAAGCAGTACAAACACAAACCAGTACATTTATACAATTGGAATCAACCAATTCGACACATTAATAATTACATATTAACAGTAATCGAACGAAAAAATGAGTTCAACGCACACCCCAGGTGAAGAAACTCCAGATGATGATGAAATCTTTCCTTTTATAGTAGACGCAGATACTGATAGAGGACAACACATATTTTGTCAAAATTTACTCGTAAATTTATTTGAACCCGGAATCAGTCCATGTAAAACAGAGTTCCCCGATGTAAAAATCAAAAGACAAATCATAGATCACTATCTAAAAGATATATGCAACATAACACAACAGTATGGAATCTACTCCATAGAATTCACCTCACCAAACCATAATAATAGAAAATATACAATTCAAACAGACGATCTTGATTCAGAATTTTCAAAAGTTTTTTCAGAATATATAAAAAGCATCCAATACCATAACTCACAAAGAGCAAACTCCATATTCACCAATGAAGTTTTCGCAATAATATATAGTTATATTTCGATATTAGAAAACGAAATCCCAATAACAAATGTCTCACCAAAAGAAACATCTAAACATTTGAAAGTACGACATGAAATCACACTACTCTCTAGTTATTTAAACATCATTAAAGAAAATTTCACGAAAGACGACGTTTCACAACATACAAAACACGATCTACAAAAAATTTTGGCATGGTTCATAATAGATTACTTCACACACAATATTGATTTAATTGCACAAGCAAGAAAAAATTTTAGACCCCAAAATTCGAACGATGATACCGCTATCACAGAACAATCAGATTATGTTTGGGACCCCGAATGGTCTCATCCCGCATTTATAAGCTTTCCACAATCAATCTCAAGTCAAGCAATAGGTACAATATCTTACATAAGAGATTATGTAAGAGTAATACCATTAACAATTGATGCAACACCATTAAACTATAATACATTTTTACCCGATACACAAAATAATAGTTTAAACTCTACAGTTATACACAATGAAAACCTCAATGGAACTAGGAATCTTACTCAACAAGATATCCAGACACCATCACACTTCATAAATGAAGAAATTGTATACACACAACAACTACACAACAAAGTATTTCACCAATACGCCCAAATTTAACAACACCAAGAAATACAAATCCTTCACAAACACAGGTAACCTTACAATCAACCGTTAAACCTTCGGTTGCCCCTAAATATTCACATATGGATTACCAAACATACAGACCCATGACAATACCACCAAAAACACGCAAAACATTCACTAGAAACAACTTTGCAGACCATAATTATAATTATACACATCCATCAAAAACATATAATCAACCACAAAGAAATTTTAACCAATATACAAGATCTCGAAATTGGGATAACCCAATGGCCCAACCTAATTCAACAAATTTCCAAACAAATCCTCCACGGGATCACAGTGAAAATTACCCATTTTTTCAACAAAATAAAAATAAAAAACAGACATCTTATCAAATGGATTATTTATCCTCAGATGATGATTTCTTACAACCAGATATATTTGCACAAAATACTCAAGAATATCGTAGACAAGGAATACAGAGAACACGTACAAATCATAGAAATTTTTCTCCACAACCAATAGATGCACAAAATCAACAACCAATTCAACAACAAAATCCAATTAATACACAATCTTTTCAACCAATTCAACAACAAAATCCAATGACTGCACACTCGTATCAACCATCACAAATGCAAAATGAAATACCACTCCCATATTATCTCCAACAACATGAGATAACAAGAAACCAACTTTCAAATTTTTCTCAAATGCCAAATGCAGCAGAATCATTACAAATGACAATGAATCCATACCTTATGGGTGGATCATCAATAACATCAAACAAACCTTTAATGGTTTTCACAGGAACAGACCCTGAATACTCTGTAGAAGATTATTTAAATGCAGTAACAGCAAACCTGATTTTAAATATTGGACCTGAACCAATTAATACGCCACTACATCAAAATTGGATACATCGACGCACAGCGTTAATACAAACAACCTTAGATGGCGCAGCCCAAAAATGGTTTTCAGTACTACCTCTAGAAATAAAATCAAACTGGAAAAGATTTACACAAGAATTTTCAAAAATGTTTGACTCCGAAAGAAACAAACAACAACAAAGAGTTTTATGTAATGAAATTCGCAGATTACCAAACGAAACCATCAAGCAAATAGCAGTACGAATCGAAACACTAGTTCGAAAAGCATATTCATTAAATACACATGACTATAAAAACACAAAGATGACAGAAATCTTAATGATGACCTTAACACCACAATTAAGGAAAATAGCAATAAAAAAGAGAGCATCACATCCTTTTTCAATTCGAGAACCCGATTTAGATTTTCGAAAACTAGTAGACAAATTAGAACAAGCAGAAATCACGATGAAACTAGAAGAAACGGAAAATCTGAAATTACAATACGTTAACAGAATTGAAACGACTCCCACTAATATTAATAATATACAGGAATCAGAGACAGACCTCGTTGAAAAAATCACTGAAATACTCAATATCTACGAAAAGAACCCAAACTTTAAAGGCAAACCATCTTTCAAAAAATGGTGTAATTATTGCCGACGATACGGACATAGTATTTCCGAATGTAGACAAAAACAGCAAGATAATCAAAATAAACCTCAAAAATATAAAGAACCAAATAAATCATTCTA